AGAGAGAGAGAGAGAGAGAGAGAGAGAGAGAGAGAGAGAGAGAGAGAGAGAGAGAGAGAGAGAGAGAGAGAGAGAGAGAGCTTGGATACTTTCATGATCAGGACGTGTAGTGTCCGAGAGAGGACAGTGTTTTTAATGGTGAATTGGGAAATTCAATCCCAATGTGCACTAAGGCTTCCCAGAATTCCTGCTACATTCCAAGGATTTCAAAATGGAGATGGCAAAAAAAAAACAAAAAAAAGGTAGGAGATTTGGAGAATGAATTGCATCTCTCCGCAGCTACCATCTTCCCCCTAGAAAACACGATACGCCGAAAAGATGATTTGTCTAGTGTTCGAGGACGGATGCTACCGTCTTCACCTGAATAGAACGCCCTGTCATTGTAGCCGTATTTTGGCCAACTTTCAGTCCAGATGCAGCCATCATAACCCGGCGTTCAATTCGGGCGAAGATGGTAGTTTGAATGGCAAGTTGGGGAAAACGCATCCACAGAGCAGACCAGAGGAGAGCAGAGAAGAGTAGTGTAGAGCAGAGCATAGCAAAGAAGAGCCACTGTGCATTCCTGCTACACTTCCCAGCCTCCCAGGAATTCAAAAAAGAAATGGAAAACTGAAACTGTGGAGTTAATTGCATCTTCTGGCAGCTACCTCCTTTTACCCCAATCAAACGGTATGGGGCCAGAAAAGTCATGACTGTATGGGGCCAGAAAAATCGCTTGTATCAGGGTGTGCTGTGCTTGGGGGACGACAATAGTTTGAATCACAAACTGGATAATGTTGCACCTTCACCAACCAGCCTAGCTCAGTTGGTGCACCCACGAACTGTTGAAATACAAAAAAAAAAAGGAAAAAAAAAAACAAAAGAACAAAAAAAGAAATACAGACCCAAGTTCGAATCCAGCTAAAATCAGATGACCAGAATAAAAGAAATTCTGAATTACCTGGGGCCGGTCAGTTTCAATGATGATATCTCAACGCTGTTGCCCTTTGAATAACTAAATAACTAACTAAATAAATAAATAAATAAATAATAAAAATAATAAAGAAATAAAGATATAATAAAGAAATAAAAATAATAAATAAATAAATAAATAAAAATAATAAATAAATAAATAAAAACGTGTACCTTCCGACGGCAGCTTCACCTTCACAAATTGAGAGAGCTCACACGCAAGGCACGAGTGCCACATGACAGTCACAACATCAAAAAGATGTTTGTTGAACTTTGTTCAGGTTTGTAGGTGGTTGTGCAAGTGCTGTCCAGTTGCCTTTTTCTTCTTTCCTTAAACCACCACTAGCTTTTGCTGAGGCAGAAAAGAACTGTGTGCCAAGCCTTGCCGAAGCGCCAGTGTGACTTTTTTTTTTTTTTTTTTTTCGCCTTGTCAGGTGGCGCCTGGCTTCCGAAGAATGCGGTGTATGGTGTTTTGGTGTTTCGAGTTTGCCAGAAAAAGGTGGTGGTGGTTTAAAGAAACAACAACAAAAAAACGTCTATAGACTCTATACAATACCCACTCCTAAAAAGAGCATAAGTAACCATAATAACATGCACTGTTGAACATGGCCAAAAACATAAAAGAAGGAAAATAGGGTTGTGAATGCACAATCCCTTGGCTTCGGGGCGTGCGGGCTATTGTAAAACGGGCRAGTGCAATTGAGGACAAKGGAAAATTGCAGACAYCACAGAGAAAACAACAATGTGAAGAACCTTTCCTGGCTGGAGAGCTGTGAGCAGGTATTCAAAGGATTAGCAGGAGTGCCCACCAGATCAGCAGCAGCACATACAATTCCTCAAGCAAAATGAAAGAAAAGAAACCTTAAAACAGTATGAAAAGTTAAGGGAAATCATAAAGAACTTAAAAGAAGCAAGCTGAGGGTCATCACATTGTTGCTGTGTGTATGTCTGTTGTAAGTTTCCACCACAACAGCCCCTATTCCACCCAGATGAGTGTCACATTGTTGCTGTGTGTGTGTGTGTGTGTGTGTGTGTGTGTGTGTGTGTGTGTGTGTGTGTGTGTGTGTGTGTGTGTGTGTGTG